TATTAGAACATAACTGAATGTAATGGATTTGACTGGAATTTGAACTCAACTCTCTGATTCCTTAATCCGAGCCACTATTCATTACTGCATCATGCCTCCTGGAATCCCCTTAAGTAAGGCAGTAATGCCACTAAAACACAAGAGTTTACAGGATGTGGAAAAATTAGGAACAGAAACATTAATGATGAGCAGAAAGGAAAAATAGTAATCAGGTGGACAGTAGATAGCAATTGACATTGCATTTAAAGTTTCTCAGATTAAAGTTGGCTGGAAAGCATGGCACCTGAAGGGAGTTCTACAAGTTAGAAGTGTCAGAGAAGAAACTGTTAGCATAGAATTTATGACTAGATCTAGCTTGCTCAAAGGTAAATTGATGAGATCTCGGTACCAGTCTAGTACTGTGCTTAAATTCAAAAAGTCTAGGTTTCATAGTGAAGTGCTCATTTGAACAATTACCATGAAAAACAAAGTATCAACCTTATGGTGATGGGAATGTGACTAGAACTGAGCTTCCAGGGCAGGACTAATAATATTGCAGGTTATTTTTTGGATTTTATCAAGGAGCTCAAGGTAAATAGCATAGGCATTGGACCATATGTGGTAGCAATATTTTAAGCCTGGGTGAATGATAGAATTATAGATATGTAAGATAGATTCTGGAGAGAAAAATTGTCTCGCCTAATAGAGTGAACTAACTTTCTTAGCAGCTGACCTAGCAATGGATTCAATATAATCTTTCCACTTCATATCAACAGAGAACATGAGCCCAAGAAGGTTCAATGAGTCATTTTCCTGGAGGATAGCATCTTAGCTAAACTTAGCTAAAAACAATATTTCCCTCCAATTAATTTTCTTCTAATTTGTAAAATATTGAATTAGTGTAAAAATAAAAGCATTTGCAATGATTTTTGATAACAGATTAAATAAATTTCTATCTTTTGTTTTGATGGAGAGCAAGCAAAATATTGATTTCTTTCTGACTCATAACTTTTTTTGAGTTGTGATTTTGATAAACCATTTTTTGCATCAAGAAATGCAAAATATTTTTTTAGTTTTCGCTCATTTATATTAGCTTCATCTAACATTTAATAGAAAAGAAATAATGGTTATGACAGTATTTTTAACAATTAATAATATTTATTTTTAACTAAGTAACAATACATTTAAGTTGGCTTCATTTTGTATGAAACCATAATGAAGACAGTTGTTATATATTTTATGATCTGGTTACAGATTTTAGAAAATCGATTCTGAAAAGTTACAGTGAAGACAGCAATTCATTTAATCTTGTGTGTTACAAAAATTATAGCAAATACAGCAGTTTATTTAACCCTTTATCTATCTTTAGGTGACTATTTTTCCTAAACAAAAAGTTAGTCCTGCCAATGCAAGTTGAATTTAAATTTCTTGGTTGTGTAGTCATCTCCTTCTATGGCAGCACCTAAAAAATCTTGAGTGAAATTGAGAGCCAGGCAACTGCAATTTCAAAATATATTTTGTGGGGATTCCATATACAGTAAAAGGGGAAGTAATATTTATAAATGTTGTTGAGTGATAAGCCTGTTATTAGGTACAAAATTATGGAAGAAGCAGCAGGTTATTTGAGCCTTTTATTTGTTGATACAAAATTATAGTCAAAGCTGAAGTTTATGTGAACATGCTATATTTGTTTGAAAATAGCAATCCACTTAAATCTGGATTATGCTGCATAAGATTTTAGTGAGAGCAACAATTCATTTAAGCCTGTTATTTGTGGTACAAAATTATTATCAAAACTGCAATCTATTTAAACTTGTTATATTTTGTATTAAATTGTAGTAAAAACAACAAATCATTTAAACCTCTTTTATTTTGTATAAAATTAAAGAATGCTTTATAATCCTGTTATATGTTGCAAGAAATTATAGCAACTCAGCAACAGTTCATTTAAAACATTATAACTAGTAACAAAAATATCACAAAAAGAACAGATCATTTAAGCTTATTATATACACTACAAATCTTTATAGTAAATACAGTTCATACAATCCTGTTATATATTGTAAGAAGTTAGAGTAAAGAAAGCAGTTCATAGGGTGCAAACTATAATGAAGGCCATAGTTCATTCAATTCTCTGTTGTAGAAAATTAAGCTGATACAAACAGTTCTTTTGAACCGATAATGTGATATAAAATTATAAGGTCAGCAGTTCATTTAACCTTGTATATGGCAGAAAATCATTTTTCTACCTCTTGATATATAATTTCATTGTTTTGTCATATATATATATATATATATATATATATATATATAGTTTTTAAATTATATCTTTGGATAACTTTCCATTCACACATGTGATTTTTACATAGTTAAATGATAAATCTTAACACACTTCATAATTTAACATTTGTTTAATGTATGTAGAATAAACCTGGCAATTACTCTTAAAAAGGACTTTCAATTAGTGTTTAACTGGTGCAAAAAATGTCTTATAAATTTCAACACCTCCAAAAGAAAACTGCTTTCATATAATCACCAAAGAGAACCTTTTCAGTTTATTATTAGAATTTGCTGATACTGAACTCTAGGAGAGAAAAACTCTATGCCTTCTTGGTTTCACATTTTCTACTGAAATAAAGTGGAGCAACTATATCAAGTCAAATGCTATGTCTGCTGCTTTGCAAGGAAGGTTTATTCATTGTGTTGTACTAAAAAAATTTTCTCATCAGAATCTATCTTGCACATTTAGAAATTTATCATTCATCCATGTATTGAATACTGTTACCATATTTGGTCTGGTAATCCTATTGTGCATATCTGGATTCTTGACAAAATCCAGAGAAGGATCTTCAATACAATTGATCCTGACCAGGCACCTTGTTTCCAGTCTTTCTTTTCTTACTGACATGACTGGCTTCTCGCTGACTATTCTACAAATATTTTAATGGTATCTACATGGATGAGCTTTTGTTCCCTGATGCTCCGACTACATGAATTTAAGCATGTTACTAGATTGGCAAGTAGGTCTCATCATTTTGCTGTTGAACTATAGCTAGATGCAACCACCACTTCTATTCTAACAGTTTTTTTCTCACACTTACAACCTGCAGAACTCCCTTCCAATTTCTTATTTTCCTGATAATGTCAAATGCCATCTTCCATCTTCTTGGACCCTGTTCCTTTTTTCTCCTTTTCTCAATCCTCCCATTTTCAATCTTCTCATTTTCTTCCACTTTTATTCCCTGTAAACCCCTGCATTTTAGTGTCATTATGGCCTTGGAGTGAAACAATTAAATACAAATATTATAAAGCTTTTTGTATTATAAATAATTAAATTTATATATTAGCCATTTTCTTTTAGATTTATATGTTCAATAAATGATAAAGATTAAAACCATTCAACGTTTAACTACCTCATCAGGAGTATCTTAATATTTCATTTAACAGAATATTACTGTTCCCCTTATAGCATACACATGATGGAGGCATGGTGGAGTAATGGATACTGGCTTGGATTGAAGAATCAGAGAGCCAAGTTTGAATTCCATTTGAATCCATTACATTCATTTATGTGCTAATACCCTTCTTCTCTCCCCAACTATGGGTAAACAGACTGTGTTCTGTAGCCTTGGATGGCAACTAGTCTACCGCAAAAAGAAATGATACATGATTGCCTAAGTGTGTATTATACATGGCACATAACTGACTGACTGACACACTATCCAGCCCAAGGATTGAACTCATAATTGCTATGTCAGCCAGTTCATGAACCAGTGCTTTAATCCACTAGGCTATTGTCCACAGGACAATAACCTTGTGGATTAAACTGACAAAATAATTGTGAGTTCAATTCCTGGGCTTGGCAGTGTATACTTGTACTTTGTGGAAACAGGGTGAGCAATAAATAAGCATTGCTAAAAAATAAAACCTAGACAAAATATCTCTGGACATGGGCAGTAGAATGAGAATAAACTATCTCTGTTGATTAAATAAAGGGTTCAATTCAGAATTATCTGTAGGTTACCCTGCTCTGATTGACATGCAACTGACAAAGGCTAGTGGGTACAATGGCCAAAACATTGTGATAGTGACAAAAAAGCTAAGGACGATAATCCACATGTAAATAATATAAATAACAAATATATTTTTATCTGGTAACTGAGTGCAAACTTAGATAGGGATATCTTGTCTAGACATGGACAATGGAATGAAAACAATATATCCCTATAGATTGAATAAAGGGTTCAAATTGAAATTCTCTAAAGGTTACTCAGACACCTGAAGAAAAGAGGTGAACACAACTGTTGAAACATTGTGATAATAACAACAAAGATGAAGACAATAGCAGATAATGCAAATAACTGCATATCTTAGAAATTTAGGCAGAAACTGTTTCTTTCTATTTTTAGATCTGTAAAGAACTGGAAATTTTTCAGAAACTAACCTTCCACCTGACCTTTTTAAATGTTTGACCATATTGATGACCTTTATAATACCATGTAAGCTCAAGATAGTCATTGGTGCATTTTAATAAAAGTTAAATGTTGTTTTCATTTTTTTTGACTGGTAACTAAAGCAATATAGTTAACTAACAAAACTAATATTTCCTACTAGATATTAATTTTCCTATTTCATTATTTTAAAAATAAAGCCTAAACCATTTTTATTTATATTTAATATCTCTGTTACAATGAATATAATCTTGTTGATAAAAACTTAGGAAATATATTTAAGGTTTTAAAAACTTGTTTTACTTAATTCCCTTTATAAAAGTCATAGTTTCCAAGTATGTTTTGGGTTTCCCAAAGCATTATTGCATACCATTTATTATCTACATGAAAGGTAACCTTCATCTACAATTTTTCCTCACAAATTCAAAATATTTCATGTCAGTATGTCACATTGTAATGCAATTGTCTTTTTAACTGTTCTTCATATTTCAACTTCAGTAAGAATTGTTTCCTAATCTATTTTCTCTTTTTAAGTCATTACATTACTTTTATCTCTTTCTTAATTTTCAGAGGGTTATATTCAATATAGTGAATTTCAGCAAAACAAAATCCCTTTACCGAGAAGGAATGTCACCTCTTGTGAGATCCAACAGCAGACCAAAGTGGTTTGTGTTTTATTTTATTTTTCCAACTTGTCACACATTTTTCTTAACGTTTTTGTTGACACACTTGTCTTTCTAAACAAATTGGTAAAAGTCCTGATTTGATTAAAGCATTCCATTTCCAATCATTTTGGTGTTATTGATTGGAATTAATAAAAGTGCCCTATCAAGATTGTTTGACAATATTTCTATATCTTCTTTTTCTTGCCATTTTATTTCATTCACTTCACACATTCCTTTCTTTCTTCCTCCATCTGCACCTTGCTTTTCTTTTATCTTCTCTTTCAAATCATTATTCTTTTATTTATACCTTCTATAAAGAACTTCTTATCACATAAAATCTGATCTCTCTTCACCTTTCATGACTTTTTTCTTCTTTTCATATCTATAAATGTCTTCATTTTTTAACTCTCATTTCACACTCCTCTTTTAGCAAAGTTCTCTTCCTTCTTTTTCCTTTTTTAAAAATTAATTTTCTTTCACTTCTATTTCTTTGTTATGTTTTCCCTTTTTTTTCTTCATTTTCTACTTCTCTTCATTGTTGTTTTGTACACATCTTTCTTTCCTTTCATCTCTATTTTTCTTCAGCAGAATTCCTTGATATCAAACCAAAAGTTCAAATGACTGATGCAATTTATGTATGTGTCTGTTTGGAATTACAATTTTATTTGCCAAATATCGAAACCTGACTTCTTTATTGAACCCAGTCAAGCTTATTTTGCTGATTAACATTGACAAGAATTAAGTTCTTATAAAATAAGGCTCCTATAGAAGGTGACATATCACCTGAGTCTCAAAAAATATAATAAAGAGAATTTTTTTTTAAAAAAAAAGTACCTGCTATAATTTAAAATGTCATTGTTTTTATATTCCATTTTCTTCATTTCATAATCAAATTTACAATGTATCTTCTTTATTTGTTTTTTCAAGCTGAGCAATTCAAATTGTTGCTTATATTACATTCCTATTTTTTCTCTTTTATATTTATATCATCCCTTTCTTTTTTAAATTATTTAATATTTAATTTTTTTGCTTAAAAACATCTTGAAATAATTTTAACCAGAACTGCCATTCTCCCTTCATATATAGATTTACTAAGCATAGCTTAGATGTGGCACAAGGTGAGAATCAAACTCATTACTCTGCCATAATTGATCTACTGAGACAAGCTTGTTAACCATTACACCACATTGAAATGGTTCATTCTCTCTTCATATAGGATACTATTTTCTTTCAAAGTTTTTCATAGTATTTCTTCAATTTAAAATTTGAATTTGCTCTTTGGATTTTTCTAATAGGCTGAGTTTTTTCCTCAGTATTTAATGTTCAGTTGAGCAGTCAAGAAGGATTATTGGAAATCTATATAAGGTAGAAAATATCAAAGGTTTAATAAAGTTTCAGGAGTAGGAAAATTAAAAAAAAATACTTTCAACATATGAAAAATATCAGTTTTCTTAAAATATCTTCAGCCACATTCATATATTCTGGTTTTACCTCATTAAAAGAACTGCAATAAAAATATGAAATCCAATGAAGATTCAATGAAATTGTCCAGGTTTGTGTTATTTACCATCTCTGAGGTTGATTCTCATTGGTTTAGAATGAGTGAATTAATGATAATTATAATTGTTTTATTATAATTATTTTTGACACTATGATTAATTTTTATTTATGTTTTTATGGACACCACACTGTGACATAATAATTAGTTTTTTATTTATGTATTTCTTAAGCATACAATAATATGACAAATGTGAAAAAGAATTTTATTTTGTTAAAAACTTAGAAATATAAAATATAACAATAAATTAAGTAATTTTTTCTAATTTCTTGAGATTATTATCTCATTGATATTAACTACATATTAAAGATGTTCTTACCATATATTACAATGTATATTATAATAATTTTTGGCATAAGATATTTTGATACCCTTTTAAAGGCTTAAATAATATTGAAATGTAAGAAATTGCAGTACACACACACACACACATATATATATATATATATATATATATATATATGTGTGAATACTTAAGTTATCATTTTTTAGGAAGTGTTCTTTATATGATATGAACATGAATTTTGGAAAATGAATTTAAGCTCTGAGTAGATTCTGAAAATTCTTGTATAAATCTAAAATTAAATATTGAAATTGAAAATTTTAAATACAATTTTTCATTTGGAAATTCTAATAAGTTCAACAGTTTTATTCAAATATAAAAATCAAAAATAAATTTTTTAAAATCTAGTTTTATAATAGTTAAGCAAAACAATTCTACTTTTTAACATCTCTTGATATCTGTGTAAAAAAAAAAAGACATTCCTTTGGTGGTTTCTATACAATTCATACTATTTTTTTGAGTCATGTAAAAAAAAAGAAAGAAAAAGAATAGCCCTAGTAAAAAAAAATAAATAAATACAATGTAAATTTTTTTCTTTTAATTATGAGCCTAGTGAAAGCTGTTCTCTCCAGCATTGCAAGCTACACATAACAATGTATTAGGTAATTTTAATATTTTTTTTGTCAGTTTCATATAGTTTGTATTCCCAACTCAAAAGCATGCAAGTTCCGATACTATATATTCCATTTGGTAATGCACTGTAGGCCTTCAGCCTTGTGCAATGATATTAAATTGTGCAACTTGAATCTATGCTTCAGTTTCCATCATTCTAGTTATGCTTATAGGCAAAGTTGTCAAGAATGGTAACAAATCAAAAGAAAAATCCCAACATTTTTTTTTTTATTCTTGTTGCCTGGAATTGATGGATATTTACAATGGCAGAATGAAAAAGTGAAAAAGGATGAAAATAGAGGAAATAAATAGATGAAGTAAAATAGTGAATAGACAAAGAACGTAGGGACTATAGTCAGTAAAAAATATAAATAGATAGCTATTCTTGTATTATGTAATAGTTTTCTTTGAGGACATATGTAAACATGCTGTATACATATTTACTTTTATGTATCTGTGCATATCTGTTTGTCTATAAACATACATACACATAAACATAAACACATCTATGTGTTGCATTCCATATTGTCTCTGACTTCTGTTCTTCAGACCCCAATGCTACATTATAGATGGCATCAATAAAAGATGACACTCATGGTATGATTGTTTCAATGAGAAAGCAGGAAAGAGATTGTCAAGGGAATGAATGCCAACTCCTTGGCCTAGCAGAAATCTAGGTGCAGGAGTTGCATTGACTCTTCCAAATTCTTGTGGCTATCTCCCTGTCTTTGTACCATTTTAGTCTCATATTCAAAACTTAAACAAAGGCAATCTATCACTGTCAGACTTTCATACACACACACACACACACACACATTCACAGAGTCCTCTGACTGGTAGTTTGCAATTCTAGGTCAGATTTTTCTACTTGTTTCTCATTTGCTTATATTGGGGAAAATGTATGACAAAGTGGAAAAAGTTTTCTTGTGATGTGTTTTGTCCTTTATGAAGTCATTGGACTAAATTTATGTTGGTGCAACTACACATAACAAATTTAGTCCAATGAAGTTCTTAGGGACGAAACAAATCACAAGAAAACCTTTTCCACTTTGTCATGCATTACCAAAATTATTATTATTATATATATATAAAATATATATCATTATCTCATATATATATATATATATATATATATATATAATGTCAGCATGGCTGATGCTCAGTTCCACAAGAGCATCTCTCTGCACTTTCTTGGTCTTACATTTTCCACTGACCTGAGGTGGAATAACTACATTGACTCAAAAGCTTCATCTACTGCAAGGAAAGTTGGTTCTGTGTTGCACCAGAAGGTTTTTCTTGTCTGAGTTCATCCTTCAAATCTGCCATTCATTTTTGCATTGAATACTGCTGCCACATATGGTCTGCTGCCACTGCTGTTCGTCTCGAGATTCTCAACAAAATCCAAAGACATATATGCAATGTGATAGGTCCTGATCTGGCATCTCGACTACAGGCACTTTCTCATGGGTGTGATGTGGCTTCTCTCTGTCTTTTTGACAAATATTTTTATGGCAATTGCTCACAAGCTACTTTCACTGGTACCCCAACTGCATGCTACTAGGTTGGCTTCTTGGACCCACCCTTTCACTGTTGAAACAGTTAAAAGTAAACAACCTCTTCAATTCCAACTGCTGCTTCTCTCGCACTTCCTGGCAGTGGAACTCTCGTCCTCTTACTTGCTTCCCTGATAGTTATAATCTTCAAATATTCAAATATTGATGCCTTGATCTTGATCCCCGTCCTTCTCTTTATCCTTTCCTCAAACACTCTTTACTCTTACTCTCACTCTCTGTAACCCCCTTCTGTGCTAGTGGCACTCTCGCCTTGCTTAGGGTGAGATGCTTAAATATATATATATATATATGGTATGATGGAAGAATTGTCATCTAAATTACACAAAAATGGAAAATAACATTGACATTGCATTTTAACAAATATATTTACCAAAATTATACAAAAATATCTTGGAATATGAAAAAGTAAATTTATTCAATAAAATTTTCATTGGTTTCAACCATGGACTTCAGACAACTTTGGGATCTTCTGCAACCCTTCTGGACGGTCTCCTTGTTTAAGTTGATAAATGCTGCCATAATCCTTGCCTTCAGTTCATCTTTGGCATTTAATCAAAGTTGTTGCAGTCTGGGGACTTAGGTGGCTAGATGTGGTCAAAGAAATTGTCTGGCAGCCATGATTGGGCTCTTCTGCTTGTGTGGCATGGTGGAGAGTCTGCCAGACATAGGGTTTTCTAGCAGACACCTTCTTGAACCAGAGCAGCACTACCTACTCAAGGCACTTGAGTAAGGTAAGTCTCTGTGTTAAGTCTGATGCCTTCACTTACAAATTCAGGAATTCTTTTCTTATCAGAATGATCAGAGTGGGTTTTCTGAGTTGCTGTACCTTTATAATCACCATTAGACTTATCCAACTCTTTTCAAATCTTATGCACTCTCCTCAGATTGAAACAAAAACACTCTGAAATGTTTG